ACCTCTACCAACCTCCACTAAGGCCAAAATTATGGAAGAAAATGATTATTTTGGATGGAATTTGGCTGAAAAGGTGAACCTAACCCGCAGACTCATACCCATTTTTCTTTCTTATTTTTCAATCAAATCGGACATCCATGACCAAATTGAAGCTTTAGCGAGTCTCGTGAACATTTTTGAGCTTTGAAAGCCATTAAATCCAATCAAAATTGATCAAAAAAGAAGAGAGAGAAGGCCAAAACGTCTCGATCGTCGATCACCCTTTATAGATAAAGGTGGCAACACAAGCACCACAAATAAGAAGAAGATGCCAAGATAAAGCCAATCCCACCATCCATGTGTCGGATGGTGGCTGGAGGAGTGAACGACATCAAGCTGAAAGATTTGAGGTACGTTAAAAGGGTAATTTGCCATTTCACCTACTCGAGGACAATTTTGTCACTTCCAAAAGTAGGGGCTTTTTTGTCATTTTCCGGTAGCATTTTAGGAGTTTTTTTTTTTCATTTTTTAGTAACCATATGGTTTATTTTCTTACCTCTTTTTAATTATTATGTTGTTTTTTTAATAATATTTAATTTTATTCGTGTTAGAAGTGTGAAAATATTTAAGTTGTAAATTTTATTGTAACATGTGGATTTTCATTCGATCGTAATGTCGGACCAATGAGTCTCCTATTTATTAAAAATTGATGATGGTCTCGATATATTTTATCCAATAATAAAAACTCTAAAAAAAAAGAGAACAAGAGCATTTTTCCTTATTAGATTATTTAGGAACATTTAAATTGAGCTAACAAGTCTCTTGTTTAAATATGGATTAATGTTGGTCTTGACCCTCGATAAAAAATTATCAAAAAAGAAAAAATAAATAAAAGGAAGGAAATTAGCTAGGATAAATACAAAATTAGTTCAAACACATTTAGCTAATTAGGTTGTTCCTCGACGGGTCGGTCATGTCAAGACGTAATTGGATCCGATGCTAAACCGACTCGACTCCTAACCTTAGGGCTCGATATCAAATTTAATAAGATGTCATCATAAAAATAAAAGAATTAATTTTGAAAATATTTTCTTGTCCACGTCCAAATAAAAAACATTAGTTAATTAAGTTGTTCCTCGATATGCCGATCATGTCGGGACGTAAATGAATTTAATACTAATTGACACGACTCCCAACCTTAGAGCCCAACGTCAATTTAATACGATGCTAAAAAAAAAAAAAAGGGTATAGATGCTAATTAAGCTTGGAAATAGAATTATGAAATAATTCAAAAAATATAATTTATAGTAGATATTTTTAGGATTAAACAAAACATGGTACTTTTCATCGGAAAGAGTATATTTAGGTGATCGTTATCTTTTGAAAAGTATAATTAACTTCCTACCTAAAAATCTCTAGATCCAATTTCTTTTTTAAGTTCCTAATTACCTTTAATACTAAACAACGACTCCAAAACTTTTTTCTTAATTTTTTTCATTTAATTTTTTGAAAGTTTCCTAAATGTCGAATAATGACACAAGATATAATAATAATGTTAGAAAATAAAAATAAACGTAATAATAAAATTTAAATTTTTTAAACAATATATATATATATATATATATTAGATCATTCAAGTTTTTCAAACGTAAACTTTATGTATTAATAAATTTAAAATAAAAAATAAATTAGATATATATCTTTTAATAATTTAAACTTTTTAATAAAGCACTCATGTAAAAAAATTTAATAATTAAATAAAAAATAATGACATTAGTAAAAAATTAGAGAGAAAGATATTAGAAATAGCGATGATAGCGTTGAGAAAGATGATAGAAAATTGAATACCTTTTTTCTTCATTCAACGCCGCCCTTTTTTAATGCTGGTTTGTATCACTAAAAGAGGAGTCATTCACACATCTTGGAGGGCCACGGCCCTTCCATAATTAATTACACGACTCACCGCCCCTGGAGCCTTTTGATGTTGAAACAAGCTAGCTATGAAGGGGTAATTTGTAAATTAGCTTACTTAGTTTTGTAAACTAGAGAAACTAATTTTAATTTATTCTAATAGGAAGTCTACGATTCGAAGCAAGTAGCTGATCATATGGCCTGGACCAGAGATTCAAATTAGAGAGGAGAGACCCGTAGAAAGACCATGCAGGTGTGGACATAAAAAAAAGGTCGTTCTAACGCGGATATGAAGAGGTAAAACATAAATATTTCGTTTCTTAAGATGGATGGGTTTTTGAAGCATATCTTCTCTCTGTCAAATCCAAAGTAGGTGCCCGTGTCCCCTCAACTTCACATCAAGACTTGGTCTTGACCGTACATTCTTCAGGCTAGAATTTTAGAGAACTGATAGAATTTGAATAATTTGTAGGGATAATTTACAGCGACGTATATTATTGGACTGGCTTACACGTATATGTATCAATCACGAATAATTTTTTAATCAAATGATTTTAATAACGTATTTTCTATATTTACGCGATGCATTTAGATTTTTTTAAATAAATTCGTAGATAAATTTAAAGAATAATCCTATGCAAATTTCTCCAATTAGTAACTATATGTATGCAATTATCTAATGACTTCTTTCTCTCTCTCTCTCTAAATTCGTTTTACTTCGTATGATAGATGGATTTAGATTGTTACATACTATTTGAATGAGAAATAATAATAATAATAATTTCAATCACAAAATATTTGTTAATTTCTTTTTATTTTTTTAATTGAAATCTGAAATCAATCTGTTTGTTCCTATATCTTATTAAAAAAAAATTAGAAAAATGTTCACGGCTATTTTCTAATTAACAATTGGTTAGGGTGTGATCTTTTTATGAATTTATGAGACTCACTTGCCTCTCATCGGGTGCATGTTCCCCTGCTTTAAGTGGATACTAGCACTTGAATAGATAATTAGATAAGCGTCCCTGGTTATTTTCTACCTATAGTCCTATACTAACTTTAACTTATGATTAACAAAAAAAAGAAAGAAAGAAAAGAAAAATATCAAGAAACCCTTTTGAAGTTTGAACTTTTCTGCGCACTTTTTCAATGTTTTTGGTCGTTTTGGGGGTGCGGTGGGGGGCTACGGGGACGCTTCTGTCTCCTGTCTCTTTCATTGGATTCCCTTCAGAACGGAGTAGTTCGTTATCGATATTTGGAGTAAGCCCCACTTCAAATCTTTAATTCATGTTTGTTTATATCAATCCTTGATTAGTACGTAATCATATCATAGTATCATTGTCTTCGCGACAACAACAATAATAATCAGCTCTATTTGCTTTTCTTTTTTCTGTCTTTCTTTCTTAGCGTTGTTGAATAATTATTATTGGATTATTACACCGTGCTTTTCTTTTTGTTATTTTTTAATTATTATTAAAAAAAAACTCGAACTTTACTTCTTAATGGAAAAAAGGGATATTAATATATTTTTTTCTATTTAATCCATCAAATATCATAAATGTACTTTAAGGCTGAATTCTGTCGAAAATGACGACATATCCTGTTAATTACCAGGCTTGTGATTGCTATTCTGTAAACAAAGGTAAGGTCTTCGTGAGATTGTAAATTTGGAATTGGATGAGACACCGAAAAAAAAAAAGAAAACCGACCTGGTAGACTCACAAGTCTTACAAAAAACTAGAAAAACTCAAATAAGATGAAAAAAATCAGCAAATTCAGGTCAGTCTTTTTCTTCGTTAGGCTGCATATCTGGAATTGGATGAGACACGAAAAAAATAAAACCCGACCAGTTAGACTCACAAGTCTTGCAAAGAGCTTGAAAAACTCAAATAAGATGAAAAAAATCTGCAAATTCAGGGCAGTGTTGGCCTCACCTGCGGGGAAAGAGAAGTAAATTATAAATTAGATGAATTAATTAGTTTTTCTAATTTTAAATATTAATTATTTAATTTTTTAACTAGTACTAACCATGATTAATTTAGTATTGTTTTATTTTTATAAAACGTGTTTTTTTCCTCATTAATCTTTTTATATTTTTAATTTTTTTAAAAAAATCAATAAAATAAAATAATAATAAAAATGATCGAATAATTATTTTTAAAATTAGAAGGTTTAATTTATAATTTAATCAAGGAAAGATACTGCAGCCTATTTAATGCCCTTAGCACGTGTCCTGCAAAAATAATAATAATAATAAAGTGGCATGGGTACAAAATACATCCCCACTAAAGGTCCAGTTTTGTCTGCTCCACTCAGCAAGAAAAAGCCCCACAAGGCCACCGCTAAACCCATTGCTTCAAAGCTTTGTATGACGTTAACTAGTAACGTCACGGAGACACTTCAATTTAATCTCAAACCTATAAATTTTAACAAATTAGTCTTAAATGTTAATGTTTATCAAATTTTGTTCAAATCAATGTTATTTTAATACATAAATATGCACATGAGACTGAAAATGTTAATGTTTATTAACTTTTCTGTTAAATTTTCTTTAAATTGACACCATTTAGTGTATACAATATACAATCTGAACTTAAAATATTAAAAGAAATGAAAAGAAGGACATAGCTGAGAAATATAGGAAACATTTGGAACCTAGTTGATAAAATTTATAAGTTTGAGATGTAATTGGAAATGGATATATGGATATATAAGTTTGGACTAAATCGAGGTTTCTCCTAATGTTAAAGATCAAGTGACTCAGTTGATTAATATAACAATCAACAGCAATTTGGGTGCACATGAGAAAGTCCCGAGAGGAATACAGAAGAGAAAAGGGCACTGACTTGTTCAAAAGAAATTTCATTGGATGAGAAATAATGTTTAGAAAAGTGTTAAAACGTCATAGGTCAAAAAAAAAAAAAAAAAAATCCTCTTCCCCTTACAACCGCGTGGAAGTTTCCATCAACTACAAACGTTTCGTGTTTTCTCATTTCACTCGGCAAATCCATCTTTTTTTCATCCTTCAAGAAAGTTTGTGCATATATTTATGCATACACAGTTCAGGCAAACTAAGGGAGTAACAAAACTCAAGAACAAGAAGTACAAGAATGGAGGAACTCCCTCTAGGCTACCGCTTCTACCCGACAGAACAAGAGCTGATATCCTTCTACCTGCATAATAAGCTGGAAGGGAGGAGACCAGAACTACAACGTGTGATTCCAGACATCAGCATTTACGACATCGAGCCATGGGATCTTCCACGTAAAAAGTCTTTTTGATGCAATTTGTTCTTTTTCAACTGCTGATAGACATGGTAGAAGAGTGTTAAAAATGCCCCTAGAAGGAAGATTAATGGTAACTTTGATTTGTTTCTTGCAATATGTTGCAGAGCTTTCAGGAGAATTATGTCAAGGAGACTCGGAGCAGTGGTTCTTCTTTACACCCAGGCAAGAGAGAGAAGCCAGGGGAGGGCGACCTAACCGGACTACAGCATCCGGTTACTGGAAGGCCACAGGCTCTCCTGGTTATGTTTACTCCTCAGATAATCGAGTGATTGGATTGAAGAAAACCATGGTGTTCTATATGGGAAAAGCTCCGAGTGGAAGAAAAACCAAATGGAAGATGAATGAGTATAGAGCCATTGAAGTTCATGAATCATCTAGTAATGCTACTCCAAAGGTGTGCACGTATCTGGTCTTTTGGTTTTTGCAACTAAAATGATGTATTTAGTCATGCAACTTGCTATCATTTTCATTACTAACCATCATTTGGCTGTAAACAATTTCTTGAATGCAGTTGAGGCATGAATTCAGTTTGTGTCGACTCTATGTGATATCAGGAAACTTTTCGGCATTTGATAGACGCCCTCTGGAACCTGTGACAAGAGAGACAGTACTTCTTGGAGATACAGCTACAACATCTGCTCAGCGCCCTACAATTGTGGAGATGACAAGCTCACCTGAAACTTCATACTCAGGAGGAGACCAAGTTGATCACCCAGGGACTGCAGCAAGTACCAACTGGGGGATGGTAGATGGTCTAGAACTACCTGCATGGGAATGGCTGGAACAACTGGATTGGCCCTGAGAAAAAGCACACGTAGATTTGTAACCCAGTCCTGAGATAGAATAGATATTCATGAGCTTGTCTTACCTTCAAAAGTAGTAAATTCTTTTTTCTTCATTTAGCATGAGGAAAGGTACAAGCAATAAATTAAAAAAAAAAAAAAAAAAGGGAAAATATCTATGATATGTGAAACAGGAAACTTATAGCGTTCGGTATGAAAATTAGTTGAGGCATATAAATGTTCAAAGTAACCAAGAGAATTGCCGAGTGTACGCTAGAGAAGATATCATTCACTGGCTCTAACCAGTTTCAGCTTCAACCTAGAATGATGGCTTCATTTATCTTTGTACAGTTTGAAGATGTCATCATCTTATTTGCCTCCAACAAATCCTCGCTTTTTTAAATCCAAAAGCATAACTTGGAGGCTCGGAATGACAGAAACTGCAGTAACAAGAAATATAATGTATAATATGATCACAGTTGCCAAGGAGTTTGACGAGAAAAGAAAGAAGAGAAGAAAAGGAATACCATGCACATGTGAACACTTGAAAAACATAAAAAAAAAAAAGAAAAAAAAAAAAAAAAAGAAAAAGAAATGGAGAAGCCAGAAATCAAGGCATTGGCAAATGGGCATGCCATTCAATGTCTTCAAGAGAATCAAGACCAAGTACAAATAGTTGGAACTAGTTTATAAATTATTCTCAATCAATCAAAATGGAATGGTAAATCTGAAGATATGTAGTTTTTTTTTCTTTTCTTTTTATCCATTTAAAGCATCAGTTGTGGTTTTATTGCAACTGTATAAATCATACGATGAGTTGTTGTCTTGGAGCCACCTGTCTATTCTCCAACAAACGACAGGTGTCCTTATCTTTGAATAATCCTTTTTTTTTTCTTTTTTTAGGTTTTACTAATTAGATAGTCACGTTACACTACGATCGGATAAGCTGTTATATACATAAAGTCGACGATTCATATGATATAATATGGATAAAAACCTTATTTATCGTAATTAATATAAATCAAATCTATTTGCTGAGCAAAATTATTCGATTTATATATATTTATTAACAAAATAATCAATAATATTAGTATAAAAAATTGTATTTGAATAATTGAAAGGTTCTTCTAAAACGTTATTTCAATTATTTTATTTTAAAAAATATTAATTTTAGAGCATAAAAAAGAATAAATAATTGATGTTATGTATACAAATATATAATTAATTTTTAATATATATATATTATGATCATATTCAGTGGATTCGGAATATATAATATAAATATTTTTTTTAAAAAAAATATCTAAACTGTATGGAATATATTAAAATCAATAAATTAAAATACAAAATATTACAAAATTGGTTTTCATAAATTCTTAATTTATGATGAAAGAGATTCTTGAATTGCAAATTAAATTATAAATTAGTTCATCTCATTTTGAGAAATGAATTAATTAATTCTTTTCGTTTCAAAAATAAATTTTTTAATTTTTTAATCAATATTGATCACAAATAATTTATTTTTTTATTTTATAAAATATATTTTTTCATATTTTTATTTTTATTATTTTTATCTATTTCTTAAAAAATAAAATAGTAAAATAGTAAAAAGGAAAAAAAAATGTATGGATAATCTCATATTCACTTCTTTTAATTATTTATATATATATATATACACATAACTTGGAGGCTCGGAGTCACGGAAAAATAACAGGAAATAAAATTTATAATATGATCACAGTTGCAAAGAAGTTTGACGAGAAAAGAAAGAAGAAAAGAAAAGGAATACCATGCATATGTGAACACTTGGGGGGAAAAAAAAGGGAAAAGAAATGGAGATATCAGACACTTTGTTTATACCATCGAGTATGACAGTGATCTTAAGTATGCTGGGACAATAAATTTTTGTCCTTCCTAAAGCACAAAGTCGACACTATTCTTGCCGTAAGCATAGTGAAAACAAAGAAGTAGGTTCCCACGTATAGGTCGGAAGCAAAAGATGATAACTTCCTAATGATCACTATCCGACGTGGAAAAGTACTCTCTAAAATTTTATTTAGGATTAGATTTGCATCAAATTTATAATTTGTTATGGGAATACGAGTTATTATTGAATTTGAAATCGTCATGTAACATTAAAAAAATTAGATATCAAAAAACAACATTGTTGTAGAGATTCTAAAGTAAGGAATTTGTTACAATTTAAAAAGATATTGATCATCTAAAATACCATTTCCTAAAAAAGATACCACATCTAGTGAGTTCTAAATTCATTTTCTAAGGGTATTTTATTTGTGTCAAGTTATTTTCAATTTAAACTCCAATTTTTCAATCCAAATTAAGTTTTTTATTCTTAAATGTAGCATCGTATTGAAACGATCGTCGAACTCCTTCATCAAGAGACATGTCGGTTCAAATATCGAATTCACTTTAAACCTCGACACAACCAATGTGCCAAAGAACATCTTGATTATTAAATGATGATGATCTTTTACTAACAACGATCTTTATTAGATAGGAGACTTTGTTAAAAAAATTATTTTTTTAACAACGGTCTACTATCGGATAGGAGATTTCGTTAAGAATTTTAATTAATTTTTAATTGATGGCGGATCATGATCAATCCCTATAAATTGAAGATACTCGACGATTCGTCCACCTATTAATTACCTAATCTAATTATTGAACTAAAATTCTAAAATTAAAATATGCCTTCCTTTTTATTTATCATCTTATTATTATTATTATTATTTTTGTCGATGAAGAATCGTCATCAACCCCTAAGAATTAGAGACTCAACAATTCATTTACCATTTGGTTATCTAAACTAATTACAAAAATAAAATTTAAAAATAAAGTATGCCTTCTTTTTTATCATTTATAAATTTTTTTGACGATGGAGAATCGTCATCGGTGCCTAAAAATTAAGAGACTTGACCACTTATCCATCATTTGATTATCTAAACTAATGATGGAAATAAAATTTTAAAATTACAACATGCCATCTTTTTTTTATCATTTATCATTTATATTTTATTTTTATTTTTTGTCGATGAAAAATCATCATCAATCTTTAAAAATTAGGAGATTTGACCATTCATCCACCATTTGGTTATCTAATCTAATCATGTAAATAAATTTCTAAAATTAATTAACTAAAATAAATTTCAAGAGATTAAATGTATTGAAATCTAAATTAATCAAGACATAAATATACATAAATAAAGATATTCAAAATAAATTTACTTAAAATAAAATAATTAAAAAATAAAAAATTTAGGCTCTTTTTAACAATGGGTCGGGCCCGTTAAGTCGTGCAACACTTGGGTTTGGCCGAGGCCGACCTAGTTTGCCCTACACGTGGGTTGAGCCCAAAACCCAACTCATTGTTATTCTTTTGTTAGGCCGAGGCCTTGATTCCACAAACAGGAATGAAACCCATTCCCGTTTCATTTTCGATCAAAAGTCTTCTTCCTCTTCTCTCACTAGTCTCTCTCTTTTTCTCTTCTCATTCATTCGAAAAGAACCTAGAGAGTTCTTCCCACATCGAACAACCTGGTTTCCTCCCTTTTAAGTTCTAAACGACAATGAGAGGAGCGTTTTGTTAAATAAGGAAAGTTTAAATAAAAGAGGGAACTAGAGGGGTAATTTAGTCCATTAGCATTGTAATTCGGTTATATTCTTAAAACTATTCATTTATGCTATTGTAGCAGAAATCGTTACTCAACATTATAGCAAAATGCAAGCATGTGAGGAGCATCCTTGCTTCTTTAAATATAGAAAAATGTATGGATTGTGACACGATTTTTTATCAATGAAATTCATACCTTCTTCCTCTATATTCTGTTTCTCCCCCACCTTAAACTCTTTCTCCTTCTCTTTCTTCTTCGTTAGCCTCATTACGCCGCTTCTGCTACTAGTAGTTTCTATTCTCCCACTCTAATTTCTATCACACTTAGAATCCCGACAAATGGTATCGAGCATTTTCGCACCATGGTCGAAGGTATCGGGTTAAAAACTCTAGATGATCAAGTCAATAATTTGGAGAATCGGGTTCAATCACTTCAGTCGATGTAGCCACAATCTACATTATCACTCACCAAAACCATGAACATAATACATAGAGGTGGAACCAAACCCATGAGATGATAAACCAAAACCAACGGGTATTGTAAAGCTTAGTGGAGGTCGTGAAGGATCTATAGGCGAGCAAACTATGGAGGCTCGAAAGGGGCTAGTGCCTCTTCCAATCTTAGGGTGGATAATGGAAAACAAATTTTACCCACACCTTTAGAAATCCAAACTCCATACACACCCGCACCTTAATACGCTAACCAAAACGACCTAACCCATTCGGACTCATTAAACGCCTAACCAACTATGGTCATAGATGTACTTCTAGTACTTCGATAGGACTAACCCCGAGCTATGGGCTAGGAGGTGTCGAAGGTGTTCTAGGTGTATCAAATCAAAGAAGAGGCTAAGGTGGAGGCTAGCTTCTATGTTTTTGGACATCAAACCCGATATTTGGTATCGAAATGGGAAGAGGATAAAGGTAGGCTAATTTGGGAAGAATTTATGAAGGACTTATGTAGGAGGTTTGGGGAGCGAAGAAACAGCTATGATAGAAGAGTTTCATAGGCTCAAACAAAATGAAACTATAGAGGAATATTAAGAGAGATTTGAAGACTTGGAATACTTGGTGAAAGGATAAATCTAGGCTTCACCGAAGGATGTTTAGTCAAGGTCTTTATAAGAGGGTTAAAGGGAGACCTAAGCTTGATAGTGAAGAGGTTCAAACCTATGGACCTCAGAAGCCTTTGAATAAGCAAAACTAAATGAGGCTTTAAAAAAACCACCCACAACCCAAACAAACCACCCAACATACATCCTTCATAACTCTAGAAACCTTTCCCCATTAACACCCTAGCCACAAAATCAGCATACCCTAATATAACCACCAACAAAAACCAATTTTCATAACCACCTAGATGCTACAAACATAAACCAAACAATAGAA